CCCTCCAAGCACGCGCTCGCCCGAACTCGCGGCGGTGGCGATGAGAGGTTTGGGGCCGTATTCATCGCTGTTTGTTTTAGGGATTAAGGCGCTGAAGCCCATCCTTGTTGGGTCCAAATAACTGCGCCCAGGTGGTACGTTTACATGGACTAAGGAAAAGAACCAACTTCGAAGAAGCTAGCTTACCGTATACATCTCTGCTAATTTCCATTCGCCCAGTTTTGTGTTGCATGTTAGCGTTAAGATAGCAGACTTCCGTCCGGTAGTTTGGTTGGACATGTTGGTGCTTTAATATGCTGCCACCCCCTGCCCCCCCCCCAAAAAAAACAAACAAAAAAAACAAAACAAAATTGAAATACCTCAGGTAAATTCTACATCACCTTAAAATGGAGTTTGGTAAATGTGAGTGTATGTGGTAGCTCATCTAATATTGCACATCACTAGAATATGCTACCCGTTCTTCGGTGATCTATACTGTTGTAACAGTATCAAAGACACTAAAACAAACTTACTAGACTGAGCGACTGGTACTCCTGCAAGCAGTTGATAGGTCACATTGAGAGGCAGGTAGTCTCCCTGTTCCACCCATGACTCCATACTGGCCATCCTTTCTGCCTTCCATGTTAAGTTCATTAACACTGGCTCCTCTGATTTGTTCAGGTCCTGCAAAAGAGCAACACCATTCAATTCTCATCAACTTTCATCATATTTTGTCATCTAATTGGTTCATCTTTAATGTGTATGAGTGTGTGTGCTCACACTGTTAAATGACTGTGAATGGTAAACCAAGTAGAAGACCCCCGCAATGAGCAGCAACAGCAACACGGCACGTTTCTTTTTTGAATAACGTCGCATTTCCTGTTGTGGATCTAGAAACATAAACGCATGCATTGACAAAATGTGGAACATGGTCAGCACAACAACTAATATAAATGTTTAAGTGGGCTCAGGGGCAGGAACAGAGCAGCTTCTGAAGGAGCCCAAGCCACTAAAATCAAAATAGTCAAATACATTAAAATCCATCCATCCGTGATCGCCTATCCCATCTGACTGTGGGCAAGGAAGGCTCCATCCTGGACTCTGAATTCCCCTTCCCCCAAGTTTTTCATCAAGCTTTGCTTTACATTTCAACGAGGTGAGTTTCCTCTAATATCCATAATAGCTTTAGTTTTAATTTGATCTCTGCTCGCATTTCTTTTGATTTGAGTTACATCTGTGCTTGTATGTACTGTATGCCTCTTTTGTCTTGCTATCATTTCACTTTGTTTGACCAAAAAAACAAACAAACAAACAAAAAAACCTTTCAGCAGCAGATAACCTGTACTATTTATAAATATCATACTTTAACTTATGATGGACAGTGTAACTTGTACCAATGTACCGCAGGCTTCAGTATTTCATCCACAAGTAAACATAAAGTTGTAAATATGGTAACATATATGTAAAGCAATATACACTGTATGTGCTGTAATACTCTATTTTTATTTTTATGCCTTAGCAAACGGCACTTGCTTAAACCCAGGAATGGATTTTAAGCCTCTTTGAAAGTGCATTTGATGGACTATGATTTGTGATGTTGCCACATCATAAAACTGCCATTCATATTTTGAAATTGGGGCAAAACCAGTGGCCGAGACTTGGCCACTTATTAAATCTTATGGCATAACGTCATACACTGTAAGTGCACAGTGAAGGCCTGCACAGTTCAGTTGATCCCAGCCCAATTGATTGGCGCCTGTTGTAATAGAGAACCAATGGCAGCCCGGCCAGCCCAAGCAAGGCTCGGTCAGAGCGGCAGTGGACCATTTTGGAACCTGGAATAGAAAAGCGCTTTTTATTAGCAAATCTACTGTTTTTTTTAACCAGCCCCATATTATATTTGTTCTCACGGGGTTACTGATTTAGGCCTTGATTATGTCAGCATTTTTCCGAAACTGTCGCGTTCCACTAACAAAGCATGTCTAGAGTGATTGTTTGTTTTTTGTTTGCAACAGCCTTCACCCTGGGCGGGTTGAACCGGCTTCTTCCTTGGCACGCACGACATCCCTGATCATGGCGGCCCAAGCGCGGCGATCCTGTGCCAGGTCAACCGACAGCCTCAGCCAGTCCTGGTTCCACCGTCTCAGACCCACCACCGGGGGCCGGAAAGGTACGCGAGGTCTTCTTTCATCGTGGTGGCCCAGGTCTTGACTTGTCCACCACGCCGCTTGCGCCAGGCTGGCAAAGGAGCAGGAAGGAGAACATCTCTGATCAACTCGCCCTCCTGGTGGCATGCCGCATGCCCGAATCAACGGAGAAACGCTGGTAAGGGACGAAGGTGCAGGCAGCGGCGAAGGTCAGCAGTGGGGACCCAGTCCGATCGGCGGCGGCGGAGAATACGGTGGAGGCAATCGTTGTTGAAGACTTCTAGCTTGCGCTGGTCAGCCACTCTCATAGGCCAGGTCTCTCAGCCATAAAGCAGGATAGTCCGCACGATCGCCTGGTAGACACGCCCCTTTGTCACCGCCGAGATCTCGCGCCGACCCCACAGATGGCGTTGTAGGCGCATGAAGGCGGATCTGGCGGCCCCGATGCGATGAGCGACTTCTGCTTCTCCTTGCCCCGATGGAACCACAGAGGAGCCGAGATACGTGAAGGAATCGACGTTTTCCAGGGACACACCCTCCAGTGACAGCGACCGTTGGTCAGCTAGGTTGGTGAGGGAGGATATGATCTTGGTCTTAGAGGCATTGATGCGCATTCCAACGGTCAGGGCCGTTCGATGAATTTTCATCAGCGCGTTTTCAGCTTCCTCTAACGTGTTTCCAAGTTGAGCGATATCATCTGCGTACGCCAGGTCCGACACTGCGACATCTCGGCCGACTCTCACACCCTCAAAGCCATGCAGAGCAGTGTGGAGAATGTGATTGATGGCATAGTTGAACAAGGTTGGTGAGAGCGCGCAGCCTTGTCGGACACCCGACCGCACCTCAAAGGTTTCTGATTCACTGCCGTAGGCCCGCATTCGGACTCGTGTTGCCCGGTAGTACCCCTGGATGAGCCGAAGCAGTTTTACAGGGATTCCATCAGCCTGCATGATCATCCACAAAGCATCCCGGTCAACTGAATCAAATGCCGCGGCAAAGTCGATGTAGCACACGACTGTCGGTTGTTGGTAGGACCATCGTTGCTCCAGGGTGCGACGCAGGCTAAAGATCTGGTCTACACATCCCCTCCCGGGGCGAAAGCCACCCTGAGTTGGGCGAGTCCGGCGGTCATGGGCCATCTGGAAGCGTTTCAGCAGAAGGACGACGAATGCTTTTGCAGCCACATCGAGAAGGCAAATGCCTCTGTAGTTGGCGCACAGTTTCTTGTCTCCCTTCTTGAAAAGGGGTAGTAACACTGCTTCGCTCCAGTCATCCGGGATGGTCTCGGACGTCCACACGGCGTTGTAGACGCGATGAAGCCACGCTGCGAAGATGTCAATGTCGCTTTTGTATACTTCCGCCGGGATGCCGTCTTCACCTGGGGCTTTATTATTCCTGACCTTCAGCTCTCGCTGCCCGGCATCAGGGAGACGTACTTCGGAAAGGCGTGCCACACTGACGCCATAGTTGTGAAGTGACCTCATGGTGAGGGCTGGGTCCCTTCGTCGCGGAGAGTCCGGACGTTCCGGCAAGCAATTTTGAGGCACTTACGGCGTCGGAGGAGGTGATGGTGGAGGGGGTCGTTGTGGTTGTGGTTGTGGTGCCCGGCTTGCACATTTATCACTCGCCCCGCCGAGCTGAGGGCAGGCGCGTCGGTTCCCGCGGACGCCGTAGCTCGAGTCGTAATTACAGTCTGTCGTGAAGTCATGAAGAAGTTTCGTGGGAATTTATTGAAAAGCCGGGTCCCCAGCCCTGCTTCTACCAGAGCCTTCTGTTGGCCGGGTAGATTACCCGTTCACCCCCCCACCACGATGAGGTCGAAGGTTGGGATTAGCAAGTGATTAGCAAAAATTAATAAATTTAAGAATCTCTGTTGAGAGAGGTGTATTTTGTTCATTTTTAAATATTTTTGTGATGCTATGAGATAAATGTTAATTCTGAACTACATGATTACGAGTAAGGAATGAGAGGGGCTGTTGCATATTAGTGTCGTATTGAGTTTCTTTTCGTTGCAGCATCGTAAGAATGGCATTATATCGTTGACTAAGACGGTAAGTCACCAATGAAGACCCAGGTATCAAATGTATGCTCCATCACTGATCTTGACTAACACTACTGATTCAAAAGAATTTGGAGTTTTAAAATGGGAAAGAACATCAATGAGTAACGTAATATGCAAGTGAATAGAGCAGTGGTGTCAAACATATGGCCCGCGGGCCGGAACCGGCCCCCAAGGAGGTTCCATCAGGCCCGCGGGATAATTTAAAAGTGAAAAAAATGCATAAAAGACACGGAATTTGTATTTTAATAAAGTGCAATTCAAGGAGTATCCGCTAGGGGGACACACTGTTTTGATCAGAGTAGAAGGCAACATTGTTTTGATCAGAGAAGAAGACAACGGCAGCTTCATATCTCACTGAGACAGACCCAACACAGCAGACGCTATCAAGGACGTGTGAATACTTTATTCTTTACACATTTAATAGCACTCTCCTTAGTTTGTAAGGTGTAGGCAGGGATTAAATTTAGATTATATATGCACATGTGTAAATGGTTGAAAAAATCCTTTCTTTATAAATCTCGTTTAATCTTAAAGTGCATTACTATATTTTTTAATACGAATTACTTGTTAAAGTTGTGTGCCTTTGTGCAATCAGTGGGATCAGTTGCAATGCATATATGTGAATGATAAAAGTAAATTGCACATTTGTCTCAGGAAATCTAAGGTGCTTCATGAAATGTTTTGTAAAGGATATGTTCATTCAATTTCAACATTTTCCTAATGTTCTTGTGCTTCCTTAGACCAAAACAAAGGAAAGACATATTTTAGTTAATTATAGCAGAGCATGGTAAAATTTTAATGGTCCGGCCCACTTGACATCTACTGAGGCCGTATGTGGCCCACAATGTCAAATGAGTTTGACACCCCTGGAATAGAGAGAAGGGTTTTTAACCACTTATGATGCATTAATGCGTAGTTTAACTGGAATTGATGTTGCCAAACCACTGTAAATATATACACCATCCTGGGAGCAATATGAAAATACGCATGTAGTGTGAGGTCACCGAGTTTTATCTTTAGCTGCAGACTGGGTTACTAACGTTCACTGTTTACGTTCACTTACAACTGTTAAACACAAGTGATTCTCAACAGGTGCCGTGAGACACTCACTTGCAATGAGAGATTATCAACTCAACTTTATTTATGTAGCACTTTAAAATGTGGATGGGAAATTCATTCAGTTACTCTTCATTTGTTCGAAAATTATTAGAAAATATATTTTTGTTTTCCTGTGGCGTATTGTGGCTGGCAGAACAATAAAACGCGGTTCGATTTGGATGACTGGTGAAAAAAAATGAACTATTAACCACCTGCTAGCATCTAGAAAATAGAGACAAGCTCATCATTTCAGTATTCATACTTTCTGAGATTTTTCGAATGTAAAACGGGTGCCTTGGCTCCATAAAAGTTGTGAAACGATGTCATATATAATAGTGTTCAGGAATCCTATTATGAGCTCCTGATAGGGCCACAGTCCACACCCCTCTCAAAGTCCAACTATAGCTCTCCAAGTCCACTACACAAGCATATTACGGATTTTTTTTTTCTTAAATTACCCTAAAACAAATTGAGAAGTAGCAGCCAATGCAATGATTGGAATAACAAGTGACGGGTCAATAGACACTTATGCACATTTATTGTATTACTTTTCAGAGGTTCATTGAGAGCTTGGCAAGGCGCTTATTTCAACAGATGCCAAATTTAGCTGGACGTTCTTGTGGAAATCGCTAGTTTATTCAGGCATGAAGCTAGAGTCACAACGAGACTAGGTTCGTCGACTTCAAGAAAAATAAAAAAATACAACTCAAGAGGACTAACAGGTGACAAACTTTCAAACAGGCGAATGCAATTCAAACTGCATCATGCGTCACCAGAAGCTTAAGAACACAATACAGTATTGAGAAACATAGGTTCCACTACATTGCATTAGCTACGGGTTATTTCGTCAATGGGAAATAAATAAACACAAGCAGTGACCACGAACAAAAAGAAGGGGCGTATAAAAAAGGGAAAGAAAGAAAAACAATGTCCAGAAAGTTCACACTCATCTGTGTTCTCACCTTGCGTCCAGCTCTCGAGTCCTTGACCGTCAGTGAAAACGAGCGGAAGACATCCTCACGGCCGTGGAAAGGAGACACTCGGAACCACCGACACCCACTCGACACTGCCGTGGGACAACCCCCTGTGACGCGCCGCAGTCAAATAGCGTGAACTTTCCATGCTGTTCTTTTATTTCTGTAGTTATCAGGACTGGTGCATTTGAAGAGAGGCTATATTGTGCAATAGTACACAATACACATCACCCAATACAAGGGACGACCGTTCTCAAAACACTTTTTTTTTTGCTGTCAAATGCGGGACAGACAATTTACACAAAAGCAACACTTAAAATATTTAGTTGAATTGTCCAACTTAAAATTTAATCCAAGTTTGTTGCCTTGAAATTCTCAACTCAACCAGTGGCGTCGCCAGAACTCTTTACTGGGGCACGTACCCCAAGACAGAGCCCTGGACGTCACAAGAATGATCCCCGAGTGTACTGTATTTGTTTACAGTCATGCTGGCAGTACAGCAACAGTGTCAGGTGAAACATTTACAATGTAAAGCAGTGATAAAATTAGCATTTAATATTGCACATTCCATTCAAGTGAATTCACAGGTCACTTGAATGGAAAGGACATTAGGTACATGTACAAGCTGGAAGTATTGGATTTTACAGATCCCATTAAAGTGGCAGGAACGCTTTTTACAACTGGCAGATAAGGAGAATGTTCACCAAACTTTTTTTTTTTAACATTGTTGATACTCCGACTTCCTCCGTTATTGCAAAAGCATGCCGGTCCACTGAAGACTTAAAAAAAAGTGTCCATCGTTATGAATCTAACTGTAAAAGGTTGTACCCTGCGATTGACTTATGACCAGCTCAGGGTGTACCCCAACACGTACCCAAGGTCTGCTGGGATTGGCTCCAAAGAGAAAAGTGCCATAGAAAATAAATGGATGGTTGCTCGTTTTCTACTGTAACTGACGGTCGGGGAAACATACTCAGCCAGCTATTGCAGTTGATGAGAGGATGATAGGTGGGGCACACCACAAACATGATCAACAGTCAATCACAGGACAGATAACTATCTACGGCTTTACCTGTAAGTTTTCAGTGAACTTTATGTACAGTAAATGTTTTTGCATTAAGATACGGCCGCTGGAGAGAACCCGCACAAGCACAGCAAGAACACGCAAAATACGCTCAGAAAACACTCTCACAACCTTGGTGTTGCGTCAACCTCTCATCCACTGTGTTGCCTTTGAGTGATGCACATTCATTCCCTCTGTGAAGACAGCGTATGCAGTACAGTGATGAGTACAGAGAGGAAACCCCTCAGAGCTTTGTCATCTCTTGGTTGCTGCTTTAGAGTCACTTTTACTTCCGCTCTTTGTCCATTGTCCTTTGCCAACTCACCGCTGTTCCTAATTCCTGATGCATCTTCCTCTTCATTATTGACCTTTTTCTCTGTTTGTCCACCCACCACTGTTTTCTTCGCATTCTCGTCATCTCTGGTGCCATCCTGTGCACCTCCTTCTTCAGTTGGCTTCCCGGTATAAAGTAACTCTCCCAGTATGAGTGTTGTGCAAGGAGGGGCTTGAGTGTGTGTGTACAGGTAGACCCTCCAGGGGAGTGTGTGTGATGGCGTAAAGGCTAGTATCTGGATGTTGACCAGCTGCATTGCAGCCTGAAAGCTTTGTGGCGAAGGCTGGGTGACATTACCACACTGGACTTGTTCTGTCATACAAAAACCATCCTCTTCCTCCCCAGCTTGCTCAAAACCTAGGAGAGAAAAAAAAGGATTAGAATCCCTTATACAAAAAAAAAAACCCACACAGAGGTTAAACCATACAAAACACCTGTTGTGAATTTTGCAGTTAAGCTCCTTGTAAGAGAACAGATTTTTTTTTTCAGAAATGTCTTAAGATCTCATCAAAGCTCTGTCTAAATCGGAAAGTAGTACATTAATTGCTTTATTTGTCAAGAAAAACAATGTATAACCTGAGTTGTTAATAAAAGTTACAGAGTCTTTGACCCATGTACATGTTCACTTCCAGTGCATTTCTTTTTCTTCTGGAAGCCATTTATTCTTAAGGGTAATGTTGTAAGATGACTTTAAAATGATATTTAACTGTTTCGGGATCATAGCGTGTGGTATAGTCACGATATAAAGTGAACCTGCTGAATCGAATTCAAGAACTGTCAAAAAAAAATACGCATTTGGAAAGCTTGGAACTCAGAGAAAATAAAATACAGTATAATGAGTAGATCATATAGAGACACATTCGTCCTCATCACTTTGTATTGTGTTTCATACATTATTTTCATAATGTCTTGTGTGTTACTGATTGTAATAACATGCAACAAAAACAGAACAAATTGTATGTACTGTGTGAAATGCAACAATCCAAATAAAACAACAGGCGTTTGGTGGGTGCTATCTCATTCAATAGATAAGATTATACAGTACATTCTATCCAAACCCAGATCTAATCTTTTGACCGGGCACTCCCTTGCAAAGCAGAGCGACATGTCTATTTAGCCATGAAAGACAAGCACCTTTCATGAAAGATTGATAGAGGAATCAAGGTGCAACACAAAAGGCTGGCTCATGTGACACTAAGACCCCCTTGATTGATAATTAACTCAGGTTATGAGATTTCACCACCTAGTTACAGTTATGTTTTTTTTTAGTTTTGTTTTTTTTATATTTTTTTTTAGGCGAGGACAAACCCTGGCCTTTGCTTGACTGCATGTTACCTCGCAGCCACAGATTCTCAAACTCTCCTGGAGTTAAAGTCGGAAGCAAGCTGAGAGGGACAATGGTGCTGCTCGACAGAGAGTCTGCAGGCGATGGTGTGCGCTCGCCGCCACGCTCTGAAGGAGACACATGGGAAGAAACATTAAGATCCATTCATGGAACCTTTGGAACTGTCAGGCTCATACTGTAAAACCATCATACGTTCACATTTTCAACTATCATACAAGCATACCAAGAAGATAATGACTATATATTGAAACTAAAATAAAAATGAGTCCACCTTTAATGATCATCGAAAGAGCGGAGAAGGGATTGCTGAAGGAGAGACAATTTTGTATGTACATGTTGACGTTCTTATAACCTGTCATAAAATACCTTTAATTTGAAAATACCATATTTGCCATTAACTCCGATAACTCATGATGTGGAAGTGGTTACGGATTACAACGTGAGCGGTTCTTTACGTTGAGTTGAAACAAGGCAATCATTCTTCAAACATTGATGTTGACTTATTGTCGTAGCACAGCGATCGTACTGTGTGGAAAAAAAATCATAATAATAAATCCTAAACATACTTTTCCATGAAATACGGGAAAGTTATATTGAGCTGCCAGGACTGAGCCATGCATACCATGTTTGTTGCCACACGACAGCGATGGCAAAATACGTTGCGTTTTTATTGTCATCATCACTCTTTCTAATCCCACTTTGTTGTGGCATCAAACAAGTAGAAAAAGTCAAAATTAAAGCATAACAGAGTTAATCCACTAGATACGGGGGTGTCCAAACTTCCTCTTCAAAGCACCACATACAGAACTAAAATGGATCCATCCATCAGAGTCTGCACAACATGATCAGCAATTATAGTGTTTTTTTTTGGGGGGGGGGGGGGGGGGGGGCGGGGTCAGTCTGGAACAGAAAAAGGGTGACCGCAAGAGTACGGAAATGTAAAAATGGATTCCAAAAAGTAAAACAAATTAGGGGTTTTTTTGGGGGGGGGGGGGCAGGCTGGTGATTGGGCAAAAAGTCAAAGATTATTCTCGATTCTCTGTTAGGGCCAGCGGTCCGGTATCCCACTAGAATTGATCCCCTTCTGGACTGATCATCAGGAGAATCACAAGGATAATTGCTGATGTTACTGAATGAACAGAAATGTAGTTACTATTTTCGTGATGTGTGATTGGTTGAAAAGTGGCGAGAATTTTTTTTTTCTTTCCCGTCTTACCAACCTATGGATAAAGTAGTACAAATGACAGACCATGTCAATTGTGAATATTATGATAAGGGCAGTGGGCCGTAGATGACCCCTCGGCCACAGTTTGGACACCACTGTTGCAGCCGCCCACTGAGATGACATCTCAACACCGTCCTCAAACATGTACTGGCATCTCTTGTGACGTCACTCATGATGGTGTTTCGTCCGAAGACTTTTGCACCCAAAAGTCTGTCTGGTTTTCAATGTTGTATAAACGGGCGATCAGAGATCAACTGCACTGAGTAAAAGTATTGTTACTGTAAAATCATGATTCAAGTAAACGTAGAGCCTTCCAAATAATTACTCAAGTATTCAGTGAAAAAAAATGCTCAAGCACGGAGTAACTGGTGAGTAATCTCAGTTTGCATTTTCACAAATTCAACCCCTGCTTTGGAGGGGGGAAATTACTGTATGTCTGAATACCCCAGAAAAGAGTGTGTGGTACTTAATCTCACGCCAACAAAATTTCTTCATTTTAAAAGGGGCTCACCTTAGACTCAAGTACACAACAAAATAAATGCCAGCGCTTTTCATCGTCAAACTCACCTGTCTGAACACTTTCAAGCTGACATGAGGTAAGGGTGTCTGAGAGGTCAGAGTTGGGCTCAAATGCTGTGTCTTGACAGCTTCTGCCTCTGACTGATTCAGTCTCTGAGAAGCTCTGCCAGAGTGGCTTCAGTGTGTTGAAGACGCGAGCCCAGTGTTTTACAGGCTCTGCGGGAAGGCCAATAAGAACACCGAGGGAGGGGTCTGACCTCCGACCCTGGAGCACCTTGCGAGTCTCGTCAATCCCACTTTGCAAAAGGCGGTAATAGAGCAGTGCCTGATCACGTACACACATGTCTGTCTCTTCATCTGTAAAACAGAGATTTTAAAATGTCTGGAACGGTGAAATCTGATTTTCTCTTCTGTTGCACTTGGACACAAACACACCTATGGCGTAATGCAGCAGCCTTCCAAGCATGTCCTGAGTCTCAGCGGGACGGCACAAAAACAGCCTCAAGGTGGCGGTCAGTAGCTCCATCTTGACTGGCGAAGATGTCTCACACCTCACTTTGTCAATGAACACCTCCAACGTGTAGGGGGCGCTGGAGACTCGATCACCATATGTTCCCAACAACCAGAGCAAGGCCTGCTTGCCCTGGCAGGAGGAGGAGAATAAGCAAAAGACTTTTTCTTATTTATCTTGTTATGCAAAATCAATGAAACCCTTTATTTATTTGTGTGTGTGTGTGTGTGTGTGTGTGTGTGTGTGTGTGTGTGTGTGTGTGTGTGTGTGTAAGCATTTTCCATGAAAAATGTTGGTTGTCCCTCAGGTTGCCTCCTGTACACATCCGGTAAAATTTGGAATTGTCCTTTAATTGGAAATTAAATGTGTCCCGTATTGGTTCAATATGTTCCGTATTTTCCTAACCATGCATCTGTCTCACACACAAACGTGAACACTGAATTTAACAATAATCAACAACAAAAAAGACAGAAGACAGCTTCTGCCTCTGACTGATTCAGTCTCTGAGAAGCTCTGCCAGAGTGGCTTCAGTGTGTTGAAGACGCGAGCCCAGTGTTTTACAGGCTCTGCGGGAAGGCCAATAAGAACACCGAGGGAGGGGTCTGACCTCCGACCCTGGAGCACCTTGCGAGTCTCGTCAATCCCACTTTGCAAAAGGCGGTAATAGAGCAGTGCCTGATCACGTACACACATGTCTGTCTCTTCATCTGTAAAACAGAGATTTTAAAATGTCTGGAACGGTGAAATCTGATTTTCTCTTCTGTTGCACTTGGACACAAACACACCTATGGCGTAATGCAGCAGCCTTCCAAGCATGTCCTGAGTCTCAGCGGGACGGCACAAAAACAGCCTCAAGGTGGCGGTCAGTAGCTCCATCTTGACTGGCGAAGATGTCTCACACCTCACTTTGTCAATGAACACCTCCAACGTGTAGGGGGCGCTGGAGACTCGATCACCATATGTTCCCAACAACCAGAGCAAGGCCTGCTTGCCCTGGCAGGAGGAGGAGAATAAGCAAAAGACTTTTTCTTATTTATCTTGTTATGCAAAATCAATGAAACCCTTTATTTATTTGTGTGTGTGTGTGTGTGTGTGTGTGTGTGTGTGTGTAAGCATTTTCCATGAAAAATGTTGGTTGTCCCTCAGGTTGCCTCCTGTACACATCCGGTAAAATTTGGAATTGTCCTTTAATTGGAAATTAAATGTGTCCCGTATTGGTTCAATATGTTCCGTATTTTCCTAACCATGCATCTGTCTCACACACAAACGTGAACACTGAATTTAACAATAATCAACAACAAAAAAGACAGAAAATATTAAAGACAGCAACAGTATTGGCGGGAGGTACGCAGGACCTCCTGCGGACCCACGAGTGAAGCCTACGTCTGGTGCATTCCCCACTGCTCTGTGTCAAATCCTCTGTCTGCCTGCCAGCATGCAGGCAACCCAGCCCCTTTGCGCTGCCTGTCATGATCGTTGCCAAGTAACGGGATAACTGCACACTTTGAGCAGGCCTGTTCAGAGTTTCACAGTACTGCTGTGACACACAAAGAAGTACTCGGTGCTGCAAGGAGTAACAAGAGGTACAGGCACATGAAGGGGTTGAGGAAGAGGATTGTTTTGCACATCTTTTTTTTTGTTTTTTTTTTTAGTTTGGTCTACTTAGCCTAAAAATGTATAGACACAAATTTACAAGTCATTTTTCTTTCCTTAGTTGCCCCCCCCCTAAATTTAAAATCGTGCACTGGGGTCACCGTTGTATAACCTTTACAGGCGACCTACATTTGACCTTCTCTAAAGTTTTGAACGCACATATCCAACTGTTTAAGTACTTTTTGCACAACTTGCTGTTCACTAACAAGGAGGTGAACAACAAAATTCAAGATTTTTAAGCCATCAATCTACCGATAATTTTCCATGGATGTCCACATCTATGCCTTTCTGTGACTATTACAGTCTCTGCATATTCATGCAACAACCTGCTGAAGAGAGTTTAACCTCAGTCCCCTCTGAGAACATCCTGTTTGAAGCCTTGCATTTGTGGCTGATTGATGTATTAGGTGCCGTCTTTGTCTCATTTTGTCAAAATGTGAACAGCTTGATAGCGTGGGCCATACATTCTAATTCTAATTGAAAGAGGAAATGTATTGGTCCATTCTTGGATCAAACGTCTGTCGTAGATTTCGCCATTGGGCTCGGGTAGTGGGGGTAAACTTTTGAAACTGAGATTTTGCCTGAAAGCCTTACCTGGCTGTCCTGCAGTATCTCCTCACACCCTTCCAGAGCAGAGCACACAGTTTCACTGCACTGAGGACACACCCAGACTAGATCCCTCATTGTCTGCACCACAGCTGTCGAATAGGGAAAGGGAGTGGAGATGGCGTGCAAAATGAGTCAACTACACAATACAAGTCTGACAAAAATCTTTTCAACATATTGATGTACAGTACGCATACAAATTATTATTACCAGAAGTGATGTTCTCTTGTTTAAGCCCGAGCAGTCCAATGAGAATCCCTAGACATCTGTCGCTGTAGCTCCGCCCGATACGACCTGCAAGTGACTCCATATGTTAGCCACAAATGCAGGCACAAGGACAGCCACTGTGTATCCCACCGGGAATCCTACTTGTTTATGATACTGTTGTTGTTGAACAAAACAATGGGACTCCAATAAGGTCAGTCCAAAAACGCATTTTTCATGCCAGACCATGTTGACCTGTCATGTAACATAACACAAAAAATCTGAAGGACTCAAGCAAATCTGTGACCTCTGCAAATATACTGTACTGTACTTACATTGGCAACTGATGATTAAGGATCGCTTTGTTTCATTTGGTGGGATAATATGGGCGTTTTACAGCAACAAAGACAAAGTAAACAACCGACATCCCCACCTTAATGTGATGCAAAGTGAGTGGCTGTTTACCGACAGCTGATATTGCAGCCTGGGCAGTGTCTGTATTGACATCAGTGCAGTAGTCTTTCAGTTCATCCAGCAAGAGGGCGACGTTGTCATCATTTACCAGTTCGACCAGCACCTGCAGACAAAACAGTACTCATATTCCTATTGTGACAGGACTGCAATAAACTTGTACCTAAACGCACAATCTGAACCTGCTCAGAGCTGTTTGTGTCTCACCGTGTACATATATTCTATATTTTGTGTAGATATTTACACAGATAGACATTCGCATAGACGTTCGTTGATAGAGATATTTCCACACAGAGAAATCCAGACCTACCTGCATCTTCCTCTGCTTGATATAGGCTGGTTCAGCATAGCCACAGAAGAAACGTTTGTAGTGTGCCCCCATCAGGCCAGGGACGGACCGCAACAGCAACTGGATGGGGGTGCATAACATGTATCAGAGATGATCAAATTTTGTTCTTCCAAAAACATGCGTTACATCTTCATTTACCATGCACAGAAACAACAAAAAGACTTCCACTCAACTACATTTGTAGCATTGTTTATCAAGTGCTGGCAGTCTACACAGCCATAATAAATAAGTAGAACAGATGGTTAAGATGTGTGTGCAGTCAGGAAAATGAGCTTCAAGAATTCATTTTGTGGTTGTGCTTTAATCTGGGGAATAATTATAGTACGCAGATGATCCACTGGATGTTATGCAAATAAATATTGGTGATGTTTTTTTTTTCCCAAGTTAGGACTAACCAGGTGGAAATTGGCTTGAATGAAACAAGAACTTATTACAGTCAAATCCATCACCATTTTGTTGATTCAAAAAAAGAAAAACAAAGTTTGAGGCTGCAGATGGAAAAAAATATGCAGTTTAACCGTGACAGGCTAAGATGAAATTAAATAAATGCTGTCTCCATGTGCAAGTTCCAGGTCCACACCTTATAAAAATGTAGAGTCCGTATTATGCATATGATTTGCCATCATACCGCTAATATGAAAATTATACTATCAATACCAGCACAAGGTTCAAATATAATAATAAAACCCAACCACAGTGCTATTATCTTTGGAAATCATCATTTCTGTCTTTACAATAGGGCAAATAATTGCATTTAGCTGCTAAGATTTCTAGTATTAGTGACAACAACTTAATTGTTTAGCAAATTGTATTCAAGAGCATATTTGTATTGTCCAAATACCTGGATGTGGCAGAGGACAGTGAACCTGATTTCTCTGGAGGCACTCCCACATGCGGCAAGCAGGGGAACCCGTACTCGTTCCAGGGCAGCCAGGCTGACTGCGGGCAAGGCCCAGCACAGGCTGAGGAAGAGGCTGAGAGTGGATGCCATGACGGTGGGGTGGGGACTGACCAAGGAGCTGTCCAGCATGGAGAGGATGTCAAAGAGCTCATCCTCAGACTGAGGTTGGTAGCGCTGGAGGATCTTAAGCACCTCGCTCTGACCCCACACGTCACAATCCTTCAGCCTATGTAGACACACACATTGCGGTTGTTCACGTCAGCTATTTAAATGTTTCCTGACGGAGTGAAGATGTGATCCAGATGATTCTAAGGGTTCCCCTAGAACAGTGTTTTTCAAACTTTTTTGAGCCAAGGCACACATCTTTCATTGAAAAAAATCTCGCGGCATACCACTAGCTAATTTTACCGCGGCACGCCTGACAATGTCTCGCGGCACAGTGTGCCGCGGCACACAGGTTGAAAAACACTGCCCTAGAAGACGGCAGCCTGGAATGATGACCAGTAAATCCAAATGCACCGAATGGGAATTAATTCAGCAAGCAGATAAGCCATATGACAACCACAACATTACCAATGCATTATCTGAGATCCTATCACATGACACTTGAAAAGAGATATAAAGCAAGGCAGAAACAAAACATACATATCTGTACAACACAGATACCGGTAACCAGGCTGTTCAATAAAAAAAAGACCGTCCACGGTACTATTATATTGTCTCTGTCCTTCATTATATCTTTCACTGTGTGTGGTCTGCTTCTCTATGGCATGTCAAAGGCACAACACAAAATATAAAGCTGTGAAAATTCCAGATTAAAATGATAATATAGAACCAATCTTAACTTTCCATGCTTCAGAACGTTCACCTATGATGTACCACATGTTATTTGAAATCTTTGCCAACCTGTTGAGGAGGTGATGAGCAATGGGTTTGTTGATAGCAACCCCTCCTTCCTCTTTCAGTATCTCCTCCAAAGCTCGAAGGCAGTTCACCATCACTACAGGATCAGTGTCCCTGAGAAGACTGTACAACTCATTCACCACCACAGCATCTGTCCAAATTATCAACATAAGCGTTTCAGAGAAGAGCGTTCATTTTCAAGCACAGGCAAATTGCATTTTTGCTTTACTGTCGAGACAACAGATACACATACAGTTGCACTTTGAAGCTGAAAAACATCTCAATTGTACATGATATACTTATACGCTTAGTCTCACGGCGGTTATATTTGATCCATAACATTTTATATGATTCTGCTTTCAGTAGTTACCAATTTCGACATTTTTATCCAACCACCTCACCTATTTCAGAATTTGGATGGAGATTGTGCAGTTTGGCCCAGCCAAGCACAGCGACCCGTCGCACACAAGCTGCTCTGTCCTTCAGTCCAGCTGTGAGAGGCTGTTCCACATACTCCATCAAACCGGGCAATCTGGGACACCAACACAAAGTTATGTTACAAGTCAAAGGTTTACATGATCACCAAATCCAGAAGGATGGTTAGATGGATTCATGAGTATGACGGTCACCTCAGGTTGGTCATGTTCCTGAGGGCCAGGCTGCGGACCATCGGGTTTGAGTCCTGACAGTCCTTCCTCAATGTGTTGATGACCAGCAGAGACAGCTCTGGATTCAAAGAGGCATAGGAGCACAAGAAGACATAGACCAGCTTCTTCTGGACAATGTCTACTGTGGCACATGCTTTCACCATCTCACTGAACAGGCTGGAGACATCCAAACCCTGCGACATCAGCCTGGAGATACAGGAGGGGAAGGGTGGGGGTGTTGTGAGGATGAAAGGTTAAGTACGGTAATTGATCAAATTGTGTTCAGGGTCAGGAGCATTTAAGGGACAGATTATTATGTCTTTATATTGTCTTTCTTTCATCAGTCATTGAAGTACAAATACTTTTTTTTTGTGATTGAGAAATTTAGGTATGGTCATAAAACTGTTGAAGGCTTTCATAGCATTACTATTACAACCGCTTCATTTAAAGCATTCTGATATTTCAAGTGCTTGCACATGGATCATATTATCATTGTTGCAAAGACTTAAAAAACAACTTGTTTTAGTGATGGAACAGTTCTGCTGTTGGTCTCTTTACACGAGTTTAGTAGTGGCCAAAATAAATAGCCTAATAGCATTTTTGTCCAAGTCATTTTTAAATTACTGACACAATATCAACAAAAACACCAATGTGCTGAAAAAAAGGCATTTCTTTCACTCTTTTGACTTCACACACATACACACGAAGCCTAAAACTCAAATAAGCAGAGACTTCCAGAACAGACAAGAAGGTATTTGGACGGGCTTTGGACACTGTAATTATTGACCTTTTTGCCATTATCCAAAAAGCATCCATCCGATGGGAAAAGACCCATCTGGAAGTTAAGAGTCTCTCCACGAGAAGTTAAAACTGTGCGTGTGCACTCCTCCAACCTGATGACTTTAAGAATGACGTTCCTATAACGCAGCTGGTCAGACTGGACATGGGGGTTGGCCAAAGCTCTCCTCAGGTCCCTCACCGTGTCCTCACTGCCCAGATATGGCATGGTGGACGCAGAAAACCTATTATGTACGTGATCACAAATCATGTTGTTAATCCGTTTGGCCTACATTTCAAACACAAGGCAGTCACATACAAACGAGTGTCAATGAAACTCAAATTGAATCTTAAAATTATTCGCAACAATTTAGACGCACGTGCAGTATTTAACTCAGAAACCCTCACCCTGCACGCTTGAACCCGCTTGAATGTTTATTTTCGCATTGAAATGGACTTCCGTGTTTCTTCTTCTGTGTTTCTGTTGGTGTGCGTGAAACCCCCTGGTGGTGGAAAGATTCGGAAGGAAATTTATTGTAGCAAATCCGAGACGTGGAGATGCTGTGGCTTTCCTGGGGTTAATCGCATACGTTCAAAATAAATACTACATGGTTGTCAATGCTGCGGATTTAAAGAACTATATGAAATTATCGCTCTGTTATTGAAAAAAAAGCCCACTTCCGGGAGAATTTCAACTGTCCCAGTACCGCACCCATGAAACAAATCTTGACGCTATACTGTACTGACAGAACACAGACACGCTCACCTAAAAATATATCGTCTGACCCTTTTACTTACAGTGTTGAATCTGGGCTAGTCTATTTAACAGAACGCAAATTCACTTAAAGGAAACTATGACTTGTACTGTATTATTGTATTTTTCTGTTCAATGTTTTTTTAGTTGCATGACACAAGAAACAGGAAGCCAAGTGTTTTTTTTTATTTGATTGTGAAAAGCAGGAAATTTACAAACAGCTTTAGCCCTCCAGCAAGCCAAGTCTGCCTCACCCTTCCAATGACAGGCATCCACTTCACCAGGCCCCTTGGTGGGGGTTTACATGGCAGAGTTTCATAAACTGGAAGAATGAGTGACTTTGTGCTGGACAACGAATCAGCCGAAAAGGGCCATCTGTACCTGGCGCCACTTGTCCGGAGAAAGCTGCTCAAGCCTTCCTCCGGACTGTAATGTCTGAGCCAGACACAAGACAGATGCGCAATTCCATTTGTGGAATAAATTCATTCACAACACGTTAATAATATCCCCCATTCAAATCAAGCCAACAAAACGGCGGCCCACGTCACATAAAAAAACATCCATACACAAACACACGCATTTCCGTGGAAATACATTTTCATCTGTGAATTTGTCAAGGATGATTTGGAATGTTCATTTATTTCGCATTATTTCCAATTCTTGAAGATGGCACTTCATAAAATGAGTCAGGCATTGAGCTAATAGTACAGCTTCATATCTGACAAGGTCATATGTAGGTCCATACCCAACTACAACAGAGAAAAAAAAAATGACAATGGTGATGTATGATTTCCAGAAGACATGGACAGCATCCTTGACATACACACTCAAAAACACATCCATCCATCCATAGTTTAGGACAAATTTGGCCCAGGCAAAGGGCTCGCAGAGTTGTTATCCTGATTGGCCACTTGGCTTCCTCGTGGTGGCACCTCAATAATACGGGGCTTGTCGATGATACGAGCGCGACGGTCTCCTTTCTCTACAATTCCAATGATCCAGGCACCCTGACCTCCAGCCCCCAAGCTTTGGCTCTTCATCTCAGAACAAAATTTGGCCGCCTGCTCTCTGGGCAGACAAACCAGCAATCCACCTTAGAAAGGGAGACAGAGAGTGTAACAAAAGCGGTCAAACTACCAGGTATAACAGGTACACAGTGTCTAACAATCAAACCCGAAGGCAACACGTAAAACAGATATTTGGCCATACTGGGTCAGTGGTAGGACACTGCTAATTGTTAGCTTTTGCTAATTTCTAACAATACTATTGATGGAACAAGCCCGATCACAATGTCATTCTTCCTGTATGTTTCTGAGCAACTGTAGTTATTGTTTGTGCATGCAGTATTACCGGATGTCTCAGACGATGTGCCCTGAACCAAATTGAATATGTTTCCACATGCTTTGCTGACGGCAGCCATTTTGGCTATGATGGGTAGGTTGTGGATAACAAAGGCCACGTCGTTGCGCTGTTGCGTTGCAAGGTTGTTGGCATGCCCCAACAAACCAAAGCCTGTCACGTCTGTTGCTGCGTGGGCCTGGAACTTGTGCATGAGACCTGCCGCTGGAGGGAAAATGGAAACATGATGACCACACAAGTAGGTATTCAGATCTGCTGGCACACACGCACGCACGTACACTCAAAAATAGATGACAACACTCATATGCCTTTTAATTTAAATATCTTTTCTGCCTTCCTTGTTGACCATAATTGTAGCGATCTTTCAACACTACTTGGGAGTTTTTGTGATCATTTTTAAAATGTCAGCTAATTATTAATTTATCAAATCTATAGAAAGATAGCGGTAGTTAAAAGATGGGCAGAAATAGACCAATCGGAAAGCACTGCGTCGAAAAATGGATCGTATCAATGTATGTAGCATACCTGTACGGTTTAGTGTTGCCATTGAAAACATAGCTTCCTGATAGGCCTCTTTAACTTCCTGCTTGGTGATGACAAGCTTGATCTTGTTCCACCGATCAGGCTGGTTAGACAAAGCAATTCAAATGCATACATAACAGAGGAGGAGGAGGAAGACAGTAACGGTCAAAATTCTAGGAGAGTGCGTCATACCCTGTTTGACCACGCACGATGAATAATACTGACCTGTTCAAGCCACTGGTGAGCATTAACAGCCACCTGTGTCCCCAAAGGCTTGGTGAGGACTAAGACATCGCCTGGGACAGCACCGTCTGGGCTAGAGGAGCGAAGGAGAGACCTTTAAAATGTGACCTGTCAGCAGGTCTGGCGGTCCAAAAACAAAAAATTTGCCTCAAGCTCGGTGAAGAACATTATGCAAAAAAATAAACACATAAATAATTTAAAGGGTTAATTACACCTTAAAGGGGGAAAAGCTGAAAAAAACACCTTTCCTAATGTTTGTTGAAACAGTCATGATGACTTGAAAGTCGCTCATAACAATTATGATTTGAGAAAATCAGCAAAAATGCTGGCATTGATTATAACAGTACAAACACTTGTTATTGTCGAAAAAAAAAGACATCCAGACATTAAATACAGGCAAAATTTAAACCACACAGCTTTTGAGGAACTAGGAAATAGTTTTGCAACACTACTCAGATGCAAGTTGTGTTCAAGAGCAGCAATATTTTTTTTCAAGCAATTTTAAATTCATTAATGGGGAATTCAAGTCAGAATTTTTCTTCAGAATAAGTTGGAAAAAAAAAAAACAGCACCTGAAAACCAATCAGACTCAAGGTGTGACTTAGCAGGCTTAATTAATTTTGCAAACGTGCCCTGGGAGCATTATTAAATAATAATTGAATAGTTTTCTGTTTGAGCACGACTTTATTCAAATGCACAGCACGTGGTGCTGTCAAGAGCAACCTTTGAAAGTGACTTACAGGATGAAGTCGTTGGGCTGGCAAACAACTGAGGCCACTCCCCCTATAATGATCCATGGATTGATCACCGTCTGGCCGCCTGTCACCGAAGTCCCTCCTTCCTCAGCAGCATCGCGAAATCCACGAATCATTAGCGGCATGACACGCTCGCGGTCCTGCATCATATTGTGATCAGGTAAAGTGCATCTCAAACAATGTTCAACATTTACGGTGAAATAAGTCAATAAATATTACCTTGTCATTCATCTTCTGGCTAACACTGAGCAGCATCAGCATGTTGTCACACTCAGTGATGCCCATGGCATATAGATCGCTGAGGACATTGGCGCATGCAATCTTGCCCTGCGAGGCAAAGAAAACACAAACAGAGTTCAATTCATCTCCTCAAAAGGTCCTTTTTGTTCAATCTAATTATGCGTAGGCCTACAAAATAGAACGAGACCCATGCGGTTTCATAATATTTTTTTTCCTAAGGTTTCTTGAGACTTAACGTGTCTGACGTTACGTTAGATAACATCTACCTCCATCTATTGGAAATAGTAGTGCTGTGCACAAATAAGTGGTGATTCAACCTATTCGTACGAGTGGGCGTGGCAAATGAAATATTGAATCAGAATTTGCGCACTTAGATCAGATGGTATGACGTTACCGGAACTGGCGTTCTGTTTCCATGCTAACTGTTCGTGCGAGTCCACTTTCGATTACAGTTACAAACTTAAACCATGTAGTAACACCAGTTGACACATCTTAAAAGAGAATGCTATGAAACTTTTCAAGGCGCCCTGCAAATCCTCTCCACTGATATGACGAACAGCAAACACAAATGTGAAGACTTCAATGAGTTCTAATGAACTTGGAGCAAATACACCCAGGGTGGCAGTGATGTAAGTGTCATCAATTAGCCATGGCTTGCTTTAGTTAATATCTGTGGTTTCGCAGCGAGTGACAAAGTAGCATACAGGCTAACTCATCCAGCATTCAGGATGTTTGCCGCAAGGAATATTTACCACTATTTTAGTACTACAAAATGTGCAATAACCAAACCAGATTCTAATGTTGGAACTAAAAAGAACAACTATTCTGTAGTTAAAACAATGTGGCAGCAACACGTCTGGTCAAATTAATGGACGGACTGACAAACAAAATGTGACTATTATTTTTTTAAGGTTCAAAATATCTTCTTAAGAATAACAGGAATTCTTAATTGTAGATATCTATAGCGTGTTGTCATTAGGGATGTGGGTGAACTGGAAAGACTCTCGACTATCAAACCTCAGAGCTTCCCCTTGGAGGAAAATCCTCACCATCATGTAGGGATCCTCCACAAGTGGGTAAAAGAAGTCTGTTGTCTGAACTAAAGACAGCCCGCCGTGCCTTAGAGGGATCACACAGCAGTCCATCCCCACTCCTGGAATCAGACAAGGCAGAGAAATAATACTTTGTGGATTACATGTTACTGTTGCAACATGTTAGTTACAATATGCGTGACAAACGTCACACAAGGAACGTTTGCATGAAGTCAAACTGCTATGTCCACCAAGTCACTTGTGCCCCCGTACCCCCATTTGAGTCAGGATCTCTAAAAACAAACCCTTTTCATATATATATATATATATATATATATATATTTTTTTTTTTTATAATAGTACCTATTTTGTGTTAAGAAATACTGCAGCTGAATACATGTAACTTAGATTAGACATTAAACATATAAAGAAACAATGGCATGATCTTGTGTATGTGATGGCAAAGCATGTTCCTTTGTTGACCACTTAAACTGCACCTGCTATAGCTGGTCATATTTGCTGTTGGGCTGAATGATTTATTTCTATATCTGGGTAAAAAAGAATAATGCGGTCAAAACTTTGTACTTGTGCTCCAATTTTCATGTTTTCAATGTTTCTTAGTTTAAGACTATTGGAATTAAAAAAAAAGTCTTTATTGTTATTTTGCTTCTGTGTGCTGTTTGTATTTGTCACTTTTAAATTGTTGAATAAAAATTTGTTTTTCAAAAAATTGATGTGATAAGTCAATACAGTACTGTATAGGTGGCTCATACATTATTCATGTATTTGCAGCGTTTGGCCGTTTCCAACATTTCCTATTTGGAGAGCATTTGTTTCGTTGTTTTGTGTGTTTTTCCAGTTTGTATGTGTGTGTTTGTCATTTTTGATTGCATCTTTTTTGCTTGCAACGTTAATGTGTTTTTAGCTCTTTACCGTTCGCGGCGCACACATGACGCAAAGCCTCACACATTCAAATTACGCTGACTCATACTACCTTGTCTTTTTTAAAATACCGCAAAATGTTTTTTTGTCGTATTTCTTCACTACATAATCTTGGCGCCTGAGTGGTAGGCCCAAAAAATATTGGTTCAAAAATTCTTGAGCTAATTTGTGACAGCAGCATATGAACACACGTTAGCTAGCCTGAGCAGCTACGCTAGCTAGAAAAGTCAAGCGTCGCGGTGCTGGCCTTCGTAATTAAAAAAAATAAAATAACGTTTCCTTACCAAGCCGAGGGCCGGCGGGCACCTGTTGCGCGAACTCAGATGCTTGGTCTCCGTCCTTCCCTGGCCCGTCCGCCCGGTTCGGCTCGAGTCCCGCCAGGAGTTTGAGCAGAGCCTCCTGCGGGACCTTGCAGCCTCATCCTTTCAAGTCCGAGAAGGCTGTGAGACGAAAGCCGCGCTCCAAGCCGTGTTCCTCGGGGATGAAAACCTTGTATCCAGGCGGGAAACAACCCTCGGTTCCCATCGCCTCGGTTTTGGCAGGCGGGGAAGTTGAACCTGACATATCGGTCTGGAAAAACCTTCAGGTTCTCAGGACGGGCGGAGACAAACTATTACAGGTTGCAGTCCAAGATGAATGGAGGACAGCCTTGAACCACACTGTAGGCAAGCTCTAACAGGAACCGGTAAAACTACTTTGGATTATACCAAAATAAAGTACAAAATATTGAGGTCACCGCATACAAAGATCTTTTGTTTTATGTGTCTAGATTATGCACATTGTTGTACAAAGTCGTAGACAATGTAAATAACATTAGTGCTTTAGTGGTCCCAAAAATAAGCATACACTGAGAAGGTAAAATATTATAAAAAAAATAAAAGTATTCTTATTTTGAAAGCAATGTTGATGTCTCTCTTTCTCCATTTACTTTGCCACCACCCTCAGCCAGTTTTCTAAAAGCACAAAAGCAGTACAAGAACAATGAAGAAAATATAAACTCCCTCTTCGCGGTCAAACCAGCCTACACCCTTATGTTGTTTGTTTCTGTTTATACCAGGGGTCCCCAAACCTTTTCCTGTGAGGGCCAAATAATTTTTCCCTTCTCTGACGGGGACTGCGGTCAGTTTGGACAGTGGTGACTACTGTATTTTAAATCGCAAAGCATCACTATACATGTATCCCCCTAGCCCCCCAAAAATATATTTTATTTGGACATTTTACATATAATACAATAATCAAATTAAAAATAACAGCATGATATCACTGTTTTAGGATTATTAGATATTTGTGGTTAATGATTACTTTAATCGCTCTATCAAATAACCATGAAAGAAAATGGATACGTTTTCTCAACAAATACTTCACCTTCCTTCGTTATTGTATTTCAAGCACAATGACATGATATGTCAATAACACATTTGCCGAATGTTTTGCTAATTGTGCTTGATTTTTTTTTTTTTTTTTTGTCCCAGGCCTGCCCTGGTAATCTCCAACTATTTTAGCCAAATTCCTTCACATTAACACAGCTAAAATAGTATGATAAAAATGTAGCGAGGACACAAATGCCCACCATAGAGCCGAGAGGGTTCATGGTATGAATGCATCTTGTGTGAGCCAAAGAACATTTGATTTATTTTGGAATTTGTCAACGGATTGAAACAATTTTCATTACACCAACAGATTATCTATCATTACAGACAATAATCACAAAAACCTTGACCTCAATGCTTTTTACATTCAGATAATTGATAGCTACAAGGAAGAAGAGTACACAATAAAGGTTCTCAGTGATATAGCAGTGATGTAGTCAACAGTATACATAGACACAGTACAAAGAGAATGGCTACTTTGTTCACTCAAGAGTTAAACCATCTCAAGTACAGATATGTATGTTTTGAGGTAATGTAGACTTGCAACATTAATGACCAAAACATACGGTATTTGAATATACACCTTAATTTAAAGCTCACTGGGTTATTCGCTCACGTTTACCCTTCAGGGAGATTGTAAAAATTATTTTACTGTTGTTTTCTGTTAAAGGTATATTTCAGGTCCAAAGATTAACTATTGTTAAATAACAATGGATGATACAATTCAAGAACACGTTTAATTCCACACACATCAGCCATTCCTCCTTTAGGATACCACTATCTCAGCAGAGTAAAGCGAGAGCAAGAAAGGAAAAGGCATCAGGGACTGAGAACAAACCCTGTGAAAATGCAGATCTTGTTTGCCAAAGAATTACATTTAAATGGTAGGTGCAACCTGGGAAAAGCAATGGACAACAACAAAATAGAGTGGAAAAGGACAGAATTAAAGAGTGGGGAAAGTTACAGCAGAAAGTGAATGGGTGGACCAGGTCTAGAGGAATACAATGATGTCATTATTTCTTTTGTTCACAAGATAAGTCCTGTGTTTGGCACATCTTGATTCCTATCATCATCATCATTTCAAGCGTCCATATTAGGTCAACTTTATTAAATGTGTGTTGCATTTAAGTGCAAGTAAGGTGCGACTACAAAAATGTTTAGCCCAGCTACACACTGAGCTGGAAAGGGACCTCTCCCCCCATCTACACCGATTAGCCATATCACTATATCCTTCCGATTAATACTGTATAGGAGCTAAAACAGCTCTGACATGAACGCCACAAAACCTTTGACGGTGTATCGGGACACCAAACGATTAACATCAGACTAGTTAAATATGTGACGCTGGGTTGGCACCTACTCTCAAGTACATCTGAAAGGACCTCAAATGAATCCAAGTATTTGGACTTCGGATGCCAAGTCATCACCTGGACCTTGCTGTTACGGACTTTGGATGCCAAGTCAACACCTGGACCTTGGTGTTACACACACACACAAAAAAAAAATCCACAACCTTTTACCTTTCTACACTTAAATTCTATACAAGGGTGACTGACACTGCATAGCTACTACATACCTGTAGCACTGCCTCCCCCTCCCCCCTGTTGCATTGTACAAATAATAGAGGGATTATATTGAACATTCCAGGTGCACAGCAGAACGGTTCTGGCATGAAAAGGCAGACTGAGCCACCAGTACTGCATGTCTAAGCAGCCGAACACGACAGGTTATTTCTTAAAAAAATAACATAAAATAAACAGGTTTGTGCTTTAGTACCTTTCTGTGGAGCAACGTTGTTAGACTTACATCAATTACATTTAGCGCCCATTATCCTGTTGTTGGGTCACTCGATGTCCATTCTCGGATCGCTTAAGGTAGGTACTAGCCGCTCCCGCAGAGATCCTGACTCAAATCAATAAACTTTTAGGGTAAAATGGCAACATACCCAAGTCTAAAATCTTAATCCATGACAGGTGCTATTGTAACAAGCTTTATGTTATTCAATTCACCTGTCAGTGATTATAATGATATGGCTGGTCGATGTATGATTATTGAAGGGAAGATGAACTCTGAATCTGTTACTGTATGCAGTCCATAACGTGGATTTGCAGTGTGTCCATGTCTGGAGCGTGGTACTGGCACTTGGGACAACATAAGTCTGGCAAATCCTCAACTCCTGCTGCTCCTTGATCACTAGGCTGCACCAATCCTGGATTGCGGTACAATGATGGAGGGGGTGCCGTGTTGAAAGCTCCGGCAGAAAATCCACCTGACAATAGAGCATAAGCGGGTGCCTCTCAGTGACAAACTTTTCAGAAATCTTTTTTTCTTCAATGTAACAAGTAAACTTGCTCCTCGGCTTCAAGTGCAGAAATGTGTGCAAGAGCCAAAGTGAGAAAAAGAGAGCCTTATCTATGTCGAACGAGAATAGACAATTTAAAACTGCATTGTGTTAAAGTTACTTTTTGACAGTATTCGATTTTGACATTATTTTAAGTTTTATAAGATTGTCCGTAGCATTTTTCAGTCATGGTGTACCCTGTGGAGGCGGAATGTGTGGAACCCGTGTTGGAAAGTCCTCCTGATGCCTCAGCTTCATCTGCTCCATACGCGCCCTGAAACAGTGGATGATGTGGTTACTTTCATGAACCTGCTTCAGACATCAATCAAAGTTTACTGTTCCAGCATGATAAAGCAAATGCAGATCCTTGATTCAATCTAAAGCATGTGCCAAGAGCCCTACTTGATAACTGCAGTAAAGCTTGATGCTGATACAGCATCGTATTAATGCACCATAGTTCTAAATGAACGTCTGGATCTCAAGATCCGAAGCAAATATTCTCAACTTCTTCAAAGTGTGTGGATAAACTGTGTCCGCAATCACGGTAACATGACCGGATTTACCAAGGAGACAAGCAAGGTTTTTTGTTTTTTCGACAGATATATTTACCGGGATGTGGCTTCCTGTTTGTGCCTGTCGATCTCCGCCAAAGCATGATTCAGCTGATCCTGCAGCTCTTCTTTCTTCTGGTTTAGCTTTTCTCTTGCTTCTCGTTCTGCAAGGAAATCTGCTTTGTAGATCTCAGCCTGAACATAGATTAAGGTGGAGAAGAAGCCAGGTTATTGAACCAGGTTGTACGGTCATGTCAGTTTTACAGCAATGTAAAACAAATGGTTTATGATTGCTAATAACTGACTGACTGTTCAAGCAGAGATTTCCTGCTTAGCTGATAACAAAAACAACTATAGCAAGTTCTGACATGCTGTATGGGTTTGGGGATTTTTGAGCCGTTTCAAATGTGAGGAAAAATGTTTAACTTCACAACCCCCACCTATAAAAGTACCCTGTTAATCATGCCCACGAAAGTGGGGGCCTATAACTGTGAATTTGTACCTGCGCAGTAAGGACAGGAACCGTCTCCAGTGAGCCTTTTTGCTGCTCGACCTCCTCCTTTAGTTTGTCAATCAGGTCCTGCTTGAGGGCCAGCGCTCTCTCAGCCTCCTCCAGTCGGCTGCACAGATCTCCTCCCTGGAAAACATGGGTGGTACATAAAGATGGACGTGAAAACATAAACCTGGTATTGGTAGAACAACTTGTCTGGATACCTACCTCATTTTTGAGGATAGAATCATAGCTTCTAACAAGACTCGTGTAAGCATGCTGAAGCTGTGTAAGTTTTTTCCTAAGAAACAAGAGGGAAATGAATACCAGCATTTGGTTAAAGGGGGGTGTGCATTAAAAAAAATTGTCATGCGTGTTAAAATTGTCCATATGAGCTGACAGAAGTACATAAGTAAAATGATCTGTGAAAAAAAAAAAAACATCCCTATCTGGTTTTTATTTAGTGTTCTAGTAACGCTATTAAGAATAAGTCATGGGACCAAGATAGCACCTGTAGCAAAGGTTTGCTTGTTTACAATGCACGTTACGTACAATGCATGTCCCACGCACATTAGTGGGGGGGGGGGGTGACTTTGGTCAGTCTCAAGGGGAGGAAGAACTCGTGAAGTAAGGTCACACTCAAATCATGCTAGCAGTCTAACACTGCAAACTCCCCTTTCGTAATACCAATACTCCCCGATTTTAAAAACATTACATTTGATTCATAGACACAATCTAAGGAAAAGAACATAGAGTGGAAACTCAATTTAACAGCAGCTAGCTTTGCAGAAGTCTGATAACAATGATGAGCATTTGAATCAGGTTTGTTGGAGGAGGGAAACACTTAAAAATGGCTGGATAAGGGCTCTCGAGGGCCAGACTTGGGCACCCATGGC